GGCAGGAGCTGCAGGCAGCAAGGGCAGAGAGGAGAAGGGAGCAGGAGGTTCAAGGGATCCTGGGGTGGGAGGACAGGGCAGAGCTGCTCAGGGGAGGAACCTTGCCAGCCCTTTGCCACGGTCAGGTTCTGGCTGCAGAGCAGTGCAGGGGAGTTCCTGCAAGTGCCTCTGCCAGCTGCCAAATGGCAGCAGTGGCAGGAGCTGTCAGGATGGCTCTGCTGGATTTGCTGGGCTGCAGCAGGAGAAGCTGCTGCAGAGCAGGACTTGCTGCTGCCCCCTCAGAGGCCCAGGGCAAGAAGGTTCCCTGGGCCAGGGCTGGCTGTGGGGTGGGCAGGTGGGGGTGCAGCCAGGGGTGCCCAGGGCTGTGGGGCAGAGCAGGGTCCTGCCCCAGGGCTCTGTGTGCTGGGGCAGGGACTCTGCTGCCTGCCAGGGTCAGCTCTCAGCCCGGCCAAGGAGCTGCCACGGCCCTGCAGGGAGAAGGGGGGGGTGGAAGGAGTGACCCCTCAGGGCAGGGCAGGGCAGGGCAGGGCAGGGCCCTTCAGCTGCAGGGTCAGGGCTCCTCAGAGCTTCAGCTCCACCTCCTCCATTTCCAGGGGCCCTTCTCAGGAAGCACATCCCCCCAGAACACCTCCCCCTTCCCAGCCACCGCAGGGGATCTGGGATCTGCTCTGCAGCCCCTGCCCAGGCAGAGCTGCCCCTGGGCACTGGGCTGGGGATGGCTCTGGCAGCACTGGCAGGGAGCTGAGCTGGGCACAGGCAGGGGCTGCTGTCAGGAACAGCTCCTCACCCAGAGACAGGCAGGCAGGGAGAGGGAGCTGCTGCCACAAGTGCTGGCCAGGGGGATGTGGGCCCCTCCCTGCTGTCCCTGTGGCACAGACCCCTTCCCTGAGCAGCTCCTGCCTGGGCTCCTTTCCCAGCCTAAGCAGAGCCTGTGCCCTCAGGCCCACGGGGGCTGGGCTGTGCATTGCCCTGCAGCAGCCAGAGCCCAGGCAACGACAGGGCCCTGATTTCCAGCTGTCTCTGAGTGTCCCTCCTCCCTTGGCAGCAGCACCGTGGCATTTCACTGCCATTCCCTGCTGCCTGGGCTCTCCTTGTTCTCACCATTGGCTTTTCTGAGTCACTGTGGGGTTTGAGGGTGGGACAGATTCCTGTGGTGGACAGATTCCTGTGGTGGACAGATTCCTGAGGGTGCTGCTGTGGGGATGTGTGTGTGGCAGCAAAGTGCCCAAGTGCCCTCCAGGCACCTTCAGGGGATTTAGCTGCTTGCCTGGGTGTCCTGCAGGGCTGCAGGTGCCCTCCAGAAGGGCACAGCTCTGCCATAGTATCTCTGTGCTGCACAGGATCCCCATGGAGAAAACTCCTCAGTGCTAAATCCATGGAAATGCTCTGGGCAGCTGCAATCAGCAGTTTGTGTCTCACTCTGGGAGGGGAGAGATGAAAAGGTGAGGGGTGTGTCAATCTGTTCTTTGGACATGGATTCCTGGATCTCTGGGCAGTTTCTCTGTAGGGGAACAGTTGAGTGGGATGCTCCTCCAGCTCCAAGCTGCCAGCACAGGGCAGCTGAGCCCAGGACTGATGGGCAGAGCAGCTCTTCTCTCTGCACTGAGGGACCGTCCCTGTGCCCCTCAGAACCCACAAGACTTGACCTGCAGTGCAATAGGAATGTCAGGGATTTCAAACCTCCACAACCAGGCAGCAAAATTGGCCCTGCAGAAGGGACTCTGTGCCTGTTCTCCCGTGGCTCCAAGGGATCTCTGGGCCTTCACGCCGGCACCGAGATTTTCTCGAGAAGGGCCTCAGATCCCCGGACCAGTCTGGGACACAGGCAAGATCCCCCTGCATTTATAAATGAGGCCTTGTTGTGGCTTCCTACCCGTACACGTTGGTGGGTTCCAAAGAAGGGCTCTTGAAATGCCTTTTGGGCTGTCCATTGAAGCCTTGGGACCAAATTGGGCCCCCTGGAGGGACAGTGCTGTTGGTGCCCCCGGGTTGGGGCACCCCGAGGACTCCAGCGCGCACCGAAAGGATTATTCGGGGAGATCCTCGGGGTGCCCGGCCCTGGGGAGTTCAAAGCAAGGTCCCTGCCATGGATTCAGGCATTGCTGAGAGTATCCCAGGTGTAGCTGTCCATGCTAGACATGGAGCTCTCTAATGGGCTGTAATTGGGTTCTAAAAGTGGTGCTCCAACTGCAAAGGAAGTGTGGGATTGGGATTAAGAAACGAGCAGTGAGGGTACAATTGGCTGTTTTCTCTTGAATGCAATGGTAAGAGCTGCAGGAGTGCCAGGTGTGTGTTCCAGTCCCCAGCATTTGGTTTGCATATGTCCTGCTCAGACACAGGTCCAACTTCCTCAGTCCTTAACACAAGAGAAGGAGAATTAAGGACTGGCAGTGTTAAGGTGACTGGTGTGACAGGGGTTAAACTGGGAAACATTGGGGAATTCCTCAGTTTCCCTATTTGCCAAACTCACCCAAACCTGTGCTAGGAAGAGATTGAGTGGAAAAGTTGAGGCAGAAATGAAATTAAAAACTGGGGATATTGAAACTGTAGTTGCTGGAACTAAATGTGTCAAAGCAGCAGCTCTTGTTGTGCAGGGAATAACTCCTGTCAGCAGCAAGGTCCCGACTGAAGTGGCAGCTGCAGTTGTTCCTGTGGTGTGGGCCAGTGGACTTCCAGGAGAGTGGAAGAGGGCAGAACCTGTAGGTATTACCCCTGATGTGGGATCTGTACGGGTAAGGCAAATAGGGAAACTGAGGAATTACCCAGTTTGTTTTTCCCAGTTTAACCCCTGTCACACCAGTCACCTTAACACTGCCAGTCCTTAATTCTCCTTCTCTTGTGTTAAGGACTGAGGAAGTTGGACCTGTGTCTGACCAGGACATGTGCAAACCAAATGCTGGGGACTGGAACACACACCTTGCACTCCTGCAGCTCTTACCATTGCATTCAAGAGAAAACAGCCAATTGTACCCTCACTGCTCATTTCTTAATCCCAATCCCACACTTCCTTTGCAGTTGGAGCACCACTTTTAGAACCCAATTACAGCCCATTAGAGAGCTCCATGTCTAGCATGGACAGCTACACCTGGGATACTCTCAGCAATGCCTGAATCCATGGCAGGGACCTTGCTTTGAGCTCTCCAGGGCCGGGCACCCCGAGGATCTCCCCGAATAATCCTTTCGGTGCGCGCTGGAGTCCTCGGGGTGCCCCAACCCGGGGGGCACCCACAGCACTGTCCCTCCAGGGGGGCCCAATTTGGTCCCAAAATGCAGGGGGATCTTGCCTGTGTCCCAGACTGGTCCGGGGATCTGAGGCCCTTCCCGAGAAAATCTCGGTGCCGGCGTGAAGGACCAGAGATCCCTTGGAGCCACGGGAGAGCAGGCACAGAGTCCCTCCTGCAGGGCCAATTCTGCTGCCTGAACTCAGCTCTTCCAAGAAGCCTCTAAGATTCAGCTGGTGAGGTTTAGAAGCCAGGCATTCCTTGCTTACAACACCCTGCCATGATCCCAGCCCAACGGGTGTCCTGGCAATCAGCTCCCAAAGGGCACACACAGGTATCTCCACTGCAGCTGATGGGAGGGGTCAGCATTACAGGAGGGTTCATTTTCCTTCCCTGCATTCCTAATCCCTACTCAGGACATTTTCCAACACTTACTACCATACACACCTACCCTTAGAAGGTGTCCAAGGGGCTTCACCGAGGGTCTTCGCAGGTCTGCTCTGTCTGGAGCCCTCAAAGTCCTCAGTGCCTGCCTTAGGAACCTCAAGACAACTCACCTGCTGACACAGGAACTTGGTGCTGCTTGGCTGCTGCCTCACTTCCCTTCTTCCTTCTTTCCTCACCTCCCTTGGTTAGTCCCTTTAAATCCCTTGGCTCAGCTCTGTGCAGTTTCCAGGCTACATCCCACTGCAAAAAGGATTAGCTCTTGTTACATCTCAACACTCAGGTATCATTCCCACTTTTTTCTTGACACTTGGCCATTAGGCCAGTGTCTCATTATTTAAAGCAGAGTTTGACTCCTCAGTGACAACAACAGCTACAGCCCTGAATCATAACAGGCTGAGACACAAACCCGGATGGGAACTCTTAAGGATCCACTTTGTTCTGCTCACCAACCAAAAGGAGCTTTCCTAACTCAGGAATAATAGACCCCAGGTCCTTTTTCTGCAACTTTACCTGCTATAGATGTGACCCACAAGACCTGGGAAGGCCCTTTCCACTTCACCTGCAGGGGCTGGCAGTGCCACCACTCGACACGGACCCAGGGGCTGGGCAGGAACGGAGGGGCTGGGGCGTCCAATCCATCGGCCCAGGCGGCACCAGGAGTTCCTGGAGTTCCTCAGGGGAGAGCCTCAAGCCAACAAAGGATTATGGAGATCATTTTCAACTTCAATAGGTATATCTCCTGGAATATGGGGACTTTGACAAGGCCTACTGGTGCAACAAGGACACACTCAAGGCTATCTATTAAAAGGATCTACTAGCACTCAAGAGCTGTCACTATCCTTCTTGCAGGGGCAACTCAGGAAACTCTCTTTGCCAAGAGCCTCCAGGAGGATTTCCAGCTTTTGGGGCTCTCTTTTAACCATTTTTCCCATCACTCTAGCTGGGACTATCACCTGCCCTACAGGGGGAACAGCCCACAAAGTCCACTTGCAGGGATGCCATTAACTCAAAGTCCCTTGTCAGGGGGGTCACTGCACCCCTTGTCCTTTGTTTGCCCTCCCCAGCAAAGATGCTTCCAACAGTTCTGAGAGATCTGGCAGACCCAGAGCTCTCCTCAGGGAATGCTTTAGCTGCTTAAAGGCTGCCCTTGCACCATCTAGCCAAGGCAGCAAATGCTTACAGGCTGTTCTTAAAAGCTGGTATAACAGTCTTACCACACATCCAGAGGGAGCAATCCACAGTCCACCCCGTCCTACCATTCCCAGGAAGGCAGTTCATGGGCTGTCTGGGGCTCAGGGAGGAGTCAGGTGGCTTCTCCTCTTCCTTTCCCCTTTCCAGATTTTCTCCTTCAAAAGCAAAGGTTTCTTGGCTTTCCTTGCTCAAGGAGATGCAGCAAAGGCCATCTTTTAAATCCAATACTGGAAACTCCTTGAGATTGTCATTCAAGGTGGTTCTCTCAGGTCCTGCACTCATCAATCATCTTGGCCATTGCTTTTCTTGGCAGGTTCTTGCATTCACGTCCTACAAGCAAACCAGGATGAGCCAATTTAGCTGTTACTGCAACCAATCCAAGCTGGAATTCTGATTTTAAAGGATACTGGGTTTGCCTTACCCATATAGATCCCACATCAGGGGTAATACCTACAGGTTCTGCCCTCTTCCACCCTCCTGCAAGTCCACTGGCCCACACCACAGGAACAACTGCAGCTGCCACTTCAGTCGGGACCTTGCTGCTGACAGGAGTTATTCCCTGCACAACAAGAGCTGCTGCTTTGACACATTTAGTTCCAGCAATTACAGTTTCAACATCCCCAGTTTTTCATTTCATTTCTGCCTCAACTTTTCCACTCAATCTCTTCCTAGCACAGGTTTGGGTGAGTTTGGCAAAGAGACCAACTGAAGAATTCCCCAATGTTTTCCCAGTTTAACCCCTGTCACACCAATCACCTTAACACTGCCAGTCCTTAATTCTCCTTCTCTTGTGTTAAGGACTGAGGAAGTTGGACCTGTGTCTGACCAGGACATGTGCAAACCAAATGCTGGGGACTGGAACACACACCTGGCACTCCTGCAGCTCTTACCATTGCATTCAAGAGAAAACAGCCAATTGCACCATCACTGCTCGTTTCTTAATCCCAATCCCACACTTCCTTTGCAGTTGGAGCACCACTTTTAGAACCCAATTACAGCCCATTAGAGAGCTCCATGTCTAGCATGGACAGCTACACCTGGGATACTCTCAGCAATGCCTGAATCCATGGCAGGGACCTTGCTTTGAACTCCCCAGGGCCGGGCACCCTGAGGATCTCCCCGAATAATCCTTTTGGTGTGCGCTGGAGTCCTCGGGGTGCCCCAACCCGGGGGGCACCAACAGCACTGTCCCTCCAGGGGGCCCAATTTGGTCCCAAGGCTTCAATGGACAGCCCAAAAGGCATATCAAAAATAGCGTGGCCAGCAGGAGCAGGGAAGTGATCCTTCCCCTGTACTCTGCGTTGGTGAGGCCACACCTTGAGTATTGTGTTCAGTTCTGGGCCCCTCAGTTCAGAAAGGATATTGAGGTGCTGGAGCGGGTCCAGAGAAGAGCAACAAGGCTGGTGAAGGGACTGGAGCATAAGTCCTATGGGGAGAGGCTGAGGGAGCTGGGGTTGTTTAGCCTGGAGAAGAGAGGCTCAGAGGTGACCTCATCACCGTCTATAACTACCTGAAGGGAAGTTCTAGCCAGGTGGGGGTTGGTCTCTTCTCTCAGGCACTCAGCAATAGAACAAGGGGGCACGGGCTTAAGCTCCGCCAGGGGAAATTTAAGTTGGATATCAGGAGAAAATTCTTTACAGAGAGAGTAATCAGGCATTGGAATGGGCTGCCCAGAGAGGTGGTGGATTCACCATCCCTGGAGATTTTTAAACGCAGATTGGACGTGGCACTGAGTGCCATGATCTAGTAAATGGACTGGATTTGGACCAAGGGTTGGACTCGATGATCTCAGAGGTCTTTTCCAACCCAATCGATTCTATGATTCTATGATTCAAGAGCCCTTCTTTGGAACCCACCAACGGGGACGGGGAGGAAGCCACAACAAGGCCTCATTTATAAATGCAGGGGGATCTTGCCTGTGTCCCAGACTGGTCCGGGGATCTGAGGCCCTTCCCGAGAAAATCTCGGTGCCGGCGTGAAGGGCCAGAGATCCCTTGGAGCCACGGGAGAGCAGGTACAGAGTCCCTTCTGCAGGGCCAATTTTGCTGCCTGAACTCAGCTCTTTAAAGAAACTTCTAAGACTCAATTGGTGAGGTTTAGAAGCCAGGCATTCCTACACACTATGGGATATTTTTAAAGCTTACTAAGTGAAAAAACATCAAGCTTTTATCAGTGACATCTGATCTCAAACAGACAGCTCCTTTCTCCTTCCAGTACAAAATTATTTTCATGGAATCATTTAATAGGAAGTGCCCAGGAACCCCAGACTGTGCTTTCCAGAACAGAAAATAAAAAGAGGGAAGGAGCTTTGCACAAGTGTAACATACTCCAGAACACACCTGACTTTAGTTTTACTCTTTATGTTCAAATATAGCAGAAGACAAAAACTCCAGCAGGAGAGCTGGCACATTACCCATGGTACCCTGAAAGTCCACCTTAAGAGAGCTGGAGAAAAATCACAGTTGTGCCAGTCCCTTTTGCCTGCAGATGGCTGGGGATCCTCTCCATCCACCTCATGCTCTCCCAACAGCAGAAAGGGTGACCTCGGGGACATGGTGGCACTCCACATCCTGCTGAGAGAGCAAGGAAACCTTTAGCAGAAAGGGGAGTTGGAATCTAAAACTTCCTTTCCTGGGAGCTTTGTGAAGCCTGCAACCCAGAGGGGGAAAATTTGCATCTCCTTTGGTGCAGGTGTCAACAGAGGCCAACAGAGCTTTCACCTTGTTCAGACAACTGTGCCCCTTTTGGCTCCCTGGCAGCTCCAATGGCACCAGAACCCCCTTCCAGCACACCCACGGCTGTCACACACAGGCACCCACACACCTTTGCTCCAGCCCACACGTGGCCAACATTTCCTCACCCTGCACATCCCAAGGGCAGTAGTTTTGCTAGAGAGCACAGCAACCCCCCTGTCCTCACAAACTGCCTCCCTGCAAAAAAAGGAATCATTTCTCCTGGACACTTCGCCCACAGTCAAGGGCTTTTCAAATGTGCTCAGGGTCCCTCCCAGCTTCTGCCTGTCCTTGCATTTCAAGGCATGGGCATGTTTCAGCAGCAGAACCCAGCTCCTCACGGGCAGTATAAGCCCTGCTCTTACCTGGACAGACTCCCGGGCTCGGCACAGCTGTGGCTCATGGAGCAGCTTCCCAAGGCCCTTCTCTCTCCCGGCAGGAAGCACAACTCGCCTCCACTCCCCAGCACCAGGGGAAACCACGAGCCAGGCTGCAAATTGACACAGAACCAGCAAAAAGCATTAATGCAGCACCAAAAAAAACCAAGCTAAAGCAGTCTTGGCCTCGTAACCCTGCACAGGGAAAGGGTTTGGAATTCCAAAGCAAAACTCGATCCACCCAGAGAGCACCAGCCCCGCAGTCCTGCCACGGCTCCCCCAGGGTCACCCGGCAGGGAAGGGGTTTACCCGGCCCCCGCTGCCCAGCACAACGCGCCCCTAAACGCCCCCCGGCTCCCCCGGCCCACAAACCCAGCGGCCAAGGCGCTCTCCCCTCCGCAGCCCGGGCAGCAGCGGGGCCGCGCCCTCAGCCCTCACACACACAACCGGCCCCACCCCCCCCGCCGGCCCTTTATACCGCGGGCCGGCAGCGCTGCCCAATCAGCGCTCGAGCGCCGCCGCCCAATCCCAGCCCGCCGGTCCCCGCGGCCCCGCCCCGCCCGCTCCGCTGAGGGAGATCGGGAACTGGGGACAGGAACCTGCTGCTGGGGGAGACACCCTGGACATGGAATTGCACACGGGCACCTGAAGCCCAGGCAATTTGCTTGCCTTGGCAAGGCCCTGCGTTGCTCCCAGGCACAGGAAATCTCTGTTTCCCTGCCCAGCCCTGGAGACAGGTGGCCCCTAAAATCCCCGGCAATCAGGAAGCCCAGGCTGCAGGAGCTGGCAGGACCCAGTGGCCGTGTGTGCCGTGGGACACCGTGTCCTGCAGCCCCACGGACCTGCACAGCAGGGACAGGTCCTGGCAGCGTTTCAGTGCCGAGGCCAAAGCTGGGGCTCAGGGACAGCTGGGGCACATGGCAGCTCTGGGAATCTCTGCCATGGATGGCTGGGCATTCCAGGACTGCCTGCTGGGCAAAGGAGCTTCTCTGCAGACTGTGGAACCAACAGGTCTCATGGACTGTAAGAAGCCAGAACTGCTGCAGGACTGTAGAGGAATCTGGGTCAGAAGAGACAGTTCAAGGTCTCTCAGTCTGACCTCCTGCTCAGGCCACAGTCACCAATGGGATCGGACCGGGCTGCTCAGGGAGGGATCCAGTCATGTTTTGAAACATTCCACGGATGGGGATACAACAACCTCCCCAGGCAACCCATTCCATGAGCGACTGCCCTGACAAAATACCTCCCCCTCCTATGCGGTTGGAAGCAACAGCTGGGCTGGCAGGAGCAGAACCTCCCTGCTGGGCCATTCCCCAGCAGCCCAAATGCCCTGTCCAGGGCTTGGTGCGGAGGCCTGGGTGGCTCGTTCCTCCAGCTGGGCATTTTAGGAGCTGCCCTTGCCCCGTCCCTGCCAAGTCCCTCTGGCAGTGGTGCAGCTCCTCAGCTGGAGTGCCTCTGAGGGACCCCCGGCCACGTTTCCCAGCAGCTGAAGGAAGGGAGGGTCACCCCCCAAGCTGGGCTGCCTTTCTCTCGCTGCCTTTTCCCCACCTTTACACTGCAGTGACAAGAGCTGCACTTTCCCAGGGAACGGGGCAGGGACAGGGGAGAGCAGCAGGCAGGAACCCCCTTCTTTTCTGCAGGCCAATGACTAACTGTGTGTGAAGGGACAGCGACTCTGGTACCAACTCCACCTCCCACTTCTTGTCACAAATCGATCTGAGGCACTTGTCAGGTCAATACCTGCCCTTTTCAGGAGCACCAGGCTTGTGTTCAGTGTCCTCATTGTAGCCCACGAATCCCTCTAGGTGTTAAATCAGCCTCTCTGTCCTGATTCTTCTAATGAAGAATTAGCGTTTAATGAGAGATACAAATTATCCTGAGAGCGTCTATGTTACAAGCTCAGTTTGGCAGTGTTGCTATCCTGGAAAGTGTGGGACAGGGACTGTCAATTCTCCTTATGCTGCTCTTAAACACCATCCCTACATTGCCAGGAGAACTCTGGAGGGAGAGACAGAGAGTTTAAAACATGAAACCTTGGCATCGCAATTGTTATTTCTAAGGATGTGTTTCTATCTGATACAGTTGTTGGGGCGATTACTCTGGAGAGTGTTTTGTACCTCAGGCAGTAAGTCTGATGTATCAGCCTCTTCGTGAGCAGGAAGCAGCACGTTCCCCAAAGGAATGTTCTGTCAGACTCTGTCAAACACAGCACGGAGGTGAGCAGGAGTGGTGCTTGTGCACAGCTGAAGTGAAGCTCCCTTGGATTCGGACTGCTCTGGGAGATCTTTGTTGAGATGGGTATTTCTGCACAGCTTCTTGTGCCATGTTGAATTTAGAGATGAGCTGATAAAGGCAGTGACACTGTTCTGTCATCACTGAGCTTTTGAGGATTTCAAACCCCTTACTTAAGTCCAGGGGCTCGTTGCCGGGGGTCCGTGCTCGGGGGTTTGTTCCCGGGGCTCGTTCCCGGGTCCCGCCCGTGCCCGATGCGGGTCCTGGCCAGTGCCGCCTCTCGCCCGGCAGGCGGAGTGGGGGCCCTGCGGCGGGAGGACCGAGGTGGGATTGGGGCTGGGATCGGGACCGCTGCGGCCATAGCGGGGCTGGGACCCCCCCAGGGAACGGGACACGGTCCCGCTCGGCCCGGGGGAGCCGGGGCTGTGCCGCGGCACGGGAGAGCGGTGACCCCGGTGGGCACGGCCGGGACTGCAGCCCCGGGGCGCGACCCAAAAGCGGGGGATGGACCCCAAACCACGGCTGGGATGAGAGAGTGTGTCGTGGGTGGCCATAACCACTTGTCCCTCCCGCAGTCCTCGGCCCTGTCGCTCAAGTCCTGCAGTGCGGACTCGCCGTTCCCGGTAGCTGGAGAGGGCTCCCATCCCCGGGCAGCCCCAACGCCCCTAAATCCCGCAGCTCCTGCTCCCGATCCCGGGGTGCCGGCTCTCCTCATCCCGCCCCTGCCGCAGGTATCTGTACGAGTACGCCAGCAGCTACAGCCAGGCGCCCCTGCCTGTGCTCCTGGGCTCCACCAGGACCTTCCTCTCCATGGTCTCCACCTGCTGCATCTCCCCTGCACCCACCGCCTGCTTCCTGAAGGAGGTGACACCCCTGGCACCAGTGGGCTCATCTCCATGCTGCTCCTTGGCAATCCAGGCGAACCAATGACGCCTGCTTCCAAATTTCCAGCCACTCCCCTATGAGGTGTTGTTCAAGGCACGAACCCCACTCAGACATGAACAAGTGCCGGAGCAGAATTACTGTTTATTCAAACTGCCTAGGTTTAAATACCACGCCTGAACATGTCCCATGACCTTCTAACCAATGACAATCAAGTATTGTCTGAGAACCTGGGAGACCACAACTCCCATGGTTCCTTGTTACATTCTTCCTGCCACATCTCCCCCCTCTTTTTATTAACAAGTTGAGAAACAATACATTTTTAACATTCTTATTATAACCAATCTTATTTCAACTAAGTATAAAAAACAGGGCCTATCATCACAAGGCCTTTATTGAACTGTTTACAACTTTATTGGTTCGTGCAATATTCAAACAATCTCAAATTACCCAGGGTTTGTAGGTGTGGATAACCTTTTATCTGAGGGTGACTTTGTGTAATGGCTTCATCTTTATTTAAAAGGGAAATGTTTTGGGTTGTAGATGTTGTGTTTGAGGTGGTGTTGTTTGAAGTAGTGCTTAAGAAGTCTTGCTATAAAGTGTACTTACGTTCACACACACATACATGCGTCCTCTCAACTTTCTCATTCATACTCTGGTGGCCACCGTTTTATTCACTCCTTACAAATGCATTCTTAAACCCTTTATTGTGTTCGACTCATGGAGTTTTGGTTTTGTATTGGTTACTGTTTATGTGTTTCTTTTGGCTCTGTATTGGTTACTGTTTATATGTTTCTTTTGGTTCTGTATTGGTTACTGTTTATATGTTTCTTTTGGTTCTGTTGTATCATTTATTGCTTCTTTGTGATTATCCCTGTTTTAAAGAAATGTTAATGTAGATTTACACACATAGGGAACAGACCCATATCTCTTTCCCCCCTTTTTTTTTCTTTTTCCCCACTGTGTGATGTGTTTACTCTTGTTGGTCATGTTTCTTCTAATCCAAATCCTTCACTTATTTCTTCTGGTGGTTGTTCCTGTTGTGGTGGAGGGCTAATATAAGGCCTGACACATCTAGAAGGGACCCATTGCAATTTGGTACCCTTGGATACACAGGCATATCCCCTTCCCCATGTTATGAGATCTACTGGTCCTGACCATTGCCCAGATATTAGATCTTTGATCATAACTGGTGGTTTGGAAGATGAAAGTATTTGAGTTTTATGTTGGCGTTCATACCTGCTATGGTCTGTATCATCACAGTTTAAGAAATTTAGAACATATGACGCTTTCCATAAGCGTTCCTGGGGGCTATATACCGACTCCCCTCTTTTTTGTCTTTGAAGCATTTCTTTTAGTGTACGGTGAGCTCTTTCTACAATCACTTGTCCTGTGGGTGAATGCGGTATACCTATGGAATGGAGTACCCCCCAGTCTGTGAGAAATGTTTTGATTTTTTCAGAACAATAAGCAGGGCCATTGTCGGTTTTTATGGTTTTTGGAATTCCTAGGATTGTGAAACAACTGAGCCAGTGTCTGATAACGTCTTTGGCTTTTTCTCCCGTGTGTGCTGTTGCATTAATGTATCTGGAATGCGTGTCTACTGTAACATGGACATATTTTAGTTTACTGAATTCAGCTATATGTGTAACATCTGTCTGCCAGATTTCATTGGCTGTTATGCCCCTGGGATTAACCCCTTCCTTAGCTGGCACTGGGGTAATTTGCTGGCAGTCAGAGCATGACATAAATATGTCTCTGGCCTGGTTTATTGTAATTTGGAATTGTCTCTTTAATGAACATGCATTTTGGTGGAAGAACTGGTGTGAGAGTTTAGCCTGTTCCAGAATTTTGGGAACTGTAGTTACCATAGCAGTTGCATTAGCTTTTTGATTGCCCTCTGCTATGGGTCCTGGAAGTTCTGTGTGTGACCGAGTGTGCATTATGTAAAAATCAAATTTTCTGTGGTTGATAAGAAACCATATGGTACGAATTTCTGTGAATAAGTGAGGATTAGTGACATCTCGAAGGAAGGAGGCTTCGAGACGTGAGACCAACCCTGCTGCATAGTGAGAATCTGTGACAACATTCATAGGTTGATCATGGAACAATTCAAATGCCATGCGGATAGCTGCTAGTTCTAAAACCTGTACAGAACCTTGGTCCAAGGTTTGTACCTTATTGTCCCATTGTCCTGTGGC